TCCACAACTCCACTATTCACCTGCACCCCGACATGTCCAGTAAGTGCTTCTCTTTACCTCGTTTTTTTTAGTTTTGCGCTAATGACCATTTCTTTTCCCTTACAACCATTCAGACCAGCTAATGGTGCTTGCCGTGCAGGAGGAGGTGATCAATGTCTTTCTCCGTGTGGGCCAGAGCTACCTGGAGGAGAATGGCCTCAGCACTGCCCTTCTCGAGATGCCCGTCAAGATGGAAGAGCCAGTGTACGGTCTGAAGAACTCCATCTACCGCGACTACATGGCGCCCGGCACCATTCTCTCCATTGCCTTCCTCAGCGCCATTCCCCTCACAGCCATGGTGCTCGTTGTCGAGCGAAAACAGGGACTCATTGAGCGAAGCATCGTCGCCGGCGCCAGCTACTTGCGCATTCTCGTCGCCCTGCTCATTCCGCAGATCATCATTCTCTTTGTCTCCTCACTGGCGCTGATGATCTTCGTCTTTCCCGTCTTTGGCCTCTCCTACCACGGAGAGTTTGCCCTCATTCTCCTGCTGACCTTTCTGCAGAGCATCTGCGGCATGTGCTTCGGAGTGCTCGTCTCAACGCTGGCTAAGGATGAGAACTCTGCGACGATGATCGCCCTGGGCTTCTTCTACCCGAACCTCCTTCTCAGCGGCACCGTCTGGCCGATTGAGGCCATGACCCGAGTGCAGCGGTACTTTGCCATCCTCCTCCCGCAGACCATTCCCATCGCCTCCATGCGCAACATCATCAGCCGTGGCTGGACCATCTTCTCCTTTGAGGTGGCAAGTGGCTTTCTCGTCTCCATCGCCTGGATTATCGTCTTTGTGGTTCTCTCCACGTTCATCTTTCGCTACCGCAAGGCCTAATCCCCGCACAGCCACTTTTACTTACTACGCGATTTTACCCCGCACTACTTTATTTACCCTTATTTATTTATTTATTTTGACCACATTCTCTCCTAGTCAGAGGAACGCTACTTTTTACCCAACCCAATTTTTGTGCACTGTAAATTAACCTGCAACAATACTCTTATTTGGAACTCGCTCTATGTATTGACAATAAACTAATCGACAATATACATTCAGCATTCTTATTCAAACATTATTTCCAAATGTTCAGTATGACTTGTTCAAACGGCTCCTTTTGTGGACTCTTTTTGGCGCTCATAGTCGCTCTGGTGCTAGGAATTCAGCATGACAATGACGGCGACAAATCTAATGTAAGTCTCGTTTACTTTACTACAAATTCTTATAGTTTGTTTTCAAACCTTTTCAGAGCATCTGTGAGAGGATCAAGCAAGGCTGGAGTGTTGATTTGCTCGCCACGGGCTACATGCGTTCAAAGCTAATGCTCGTCACATCTTTTCAAAGTGATTTTCAAGTCTACGAGCTGCCAATTGAAGCACTGGACACTGCGAACCATCAACTTGTGCTGTACAAGGCAAAGTCAGTTCCCCTCAAGGAGAAGTGGCCCAAGTTGTTCAAGAATGACAACTTTTCCATCTTCCACAAGACGCCACCTGAAAGCACCTTTGCAGTGTTTGCTGAAAATGATCAAGGCGATCACCTTCTACTCTTTTCTTACACAAAACGACTTTTGCGTCAAGTAACGTACAGTTTTGCCAACGATACCGTCACCAGTGAGCCGCTAACTTCCCCATATGAGTGGTCATTTATGCCCAGCTCTGGTCCTCAGCCGACCACTGTTTACCTGCTCAGTAAACACGATTCGTTGTGGGTCATAACTCAGCTAGACAGTTTAGACCATCTTGAAGACAAGTACAAAAACCAGTCTCTAGCCCTTTGTAAGCGAGGGAGTGTCATCTACTTTTTCGACCACAACAATACCAAAAAGTGCCCCAAAAACGTCGATTGGCCGCAAATGAAAGGTATCAAGGCGAATGGCAGCAAGTGGTTTTACCTCTTTGGAGCCGAAAGTGTCTACTACTTCAACTTTACAACTATTCAAATCGGCCAGGCGACTACGCTGGAATCAAAGCTAAACACCGAGTTCTTCAAGTGCTCTAAAGGGCAAGAAACGACAACCGAAATAACAAACGGCTCGACTAACTCTTCATCAAACAGTACTGCTGCATCAACACAAAGTTACGACATTGACACTCTGACATTGGCCTCGATTATTTTAATTGGCGCTATTCTCATTCTGATAGCAGCCATCACCGTTTACTGCTTCTTTTCTAAACGTAAAAACACTTCCTCCGAACTTCGTCGAAAAAGTTCAAGCAGCATTCAAAGTATTGACTCTGAACATTAGATTCTTCAAACAAAATTAAATTATTTGGAATACTTGTTACATCTTGGTCCAGAATCCGAGAAAGAATATTCCTCATCACTTTGCATTGAGTACCTGTGTTTATGAAATAGTCAGTCAAGAGGGCAATGCCGCCCTCGTCATTTGGCTGCTGTTAAGAAACGCAAATATATTTTTGAGTAAAACAAAGTTGAACAAGGTAAGCTTTCACAGTACTACACAGTGCTGCCCTCTGTAACACTGTGAAAGTGGCTTCAGAGTAGTCAACACAGTGTTTATTTTTTGGCAGCTGCTGCAGTTTGAAAAACAACATTTATAACCGCCAACACTCCACGATTGGGTTTTCAACGTACCAAAATGTCTGATTATTCGCAGCACATCATTGCCATCTTAGAGGCGCTCGAATTAAATGCATACTTGGCTAAAAGGCATCCCAAACTTAAAATTACTCAGTAAGTTTTGTTTTTTGTGTGCACAAATCGCTCTAATTTGTTTTCTTTATAGGGAAACATTCAATGAAAAGCTTAAGCAAAATGATTTTGCCATCATCTTTTATTTTCTTTTTGGAAAACTTAACCCTGAGAAAACAAAGAACAATTTTCGCTCTGTGTATCCATTGCGTGATTCTAAGCAAGAGGCGGAATTTCGGCAGATTTCTATGAATATGTTGAAAGAAATTAATTCAAAAGTATTCAGTTTCATGAATTTGCTTATCATGTCTTAATTTTAGATAATTTTATCTTTAGAATCCAGCTTGTAAATTCGTCGTTCTGCCGATTTTATTTCAACGACTTTCTGGTCAACAATTTCTTGAACTCGTTTTTCGTTTTGCCAATCATGTTCTCTCAAAAGTTGTTGAAAGAATGGAAAAAGCATTTTCAAACTCGGGTGCTGAAAAATTGTTCAACGAATGGTCATCGGCTGCTGAATTTCAAGCAAAAGTAATGGAATATGAAGCTAATGTTTTACAATATGAAGCTCAGGTTGAGCAGTACTCTGAGAAACTGAATAGGGCACTGGCGCAGAAAGCCGCTAATCGAGAATTTGTTGAACAACAGCTCATTAAATACGCACCTTACCGTGATGCCAAGTTTCTTGAAAAGAACAACCAATATTTGGAGCAACAAGTTGCTGAGCTGAGCAAATTCATTGAAAATACTACGAGACAACTTAATGACAGTACTAATGATTCGATATCTTCAATTGGAACAAGAGACAAACTGCTAATTGCCGAATTGGAAGCAGTTGACCAAATGGCAAAGCTTATTAAACGTATGAGTTTAGATTTTTGCAATAATGAATAATTTAAGACTTTCCATCTTTTCAGGCGACCACGAACCACTTTTAAACGCCGTGAAGGTGACTACAGATTTGCGAAATTTGTTTCATCGGCTGCAGGTAATAGTAGAGCGCGCTTTGAAGATGATTAGTTCACTAAAAGAGGATCTGGCTCATGTTAAAGGCGAGCTTTTTCAAACTGAACCTGCCAAGGCTGCACTCGAACAAACAAAAGCTTACTTTAAGCCGTTCCTCGAAACACCATTAACTTTGGATGCTTACAGTCCTGGAATAAATCAAAGAATTGCGGAATTTCTTTCAAGTCAACGCACTTACTAAGATTTGAAGATTTTACATCATAAATGTGATAATCAAGTGAGTACATCAAAGCGGCATTAAAAACTTGTAATTGTATGGGCTTTTATGTTCATTGTAAAATTGTCAAAAATACAGTTTTAGTGGGACATTATCAAAAGTACATATACAATAAATGGAAAACAAAGACGGCAGTTATTTGCTCAGTTCCTGACTAGAGTTGTTCACTTCTGTTGCTTCCTTCAGCTTAATTAGCATTTCCAGCTGTAAAAGTAATTAGTTTTGTTAGTGATGCTGTTTTTGAACATTTCACAGTTTTGAATTTGGTGTACTCACAAAAGGATCATTCACTTGATCAATGCGATCGTTGATTGAGACAGCCACCGGGGGCTTCCCGCTGACGGAAAACTTTCCCGACGCCGAGGAGCCACTGCGAATGGAAGCAGACGACGGCTCGGTGGAGTCGTGCTCCAGGATGTCCTCCAGTCGCAGTCGATTGAGGTGGTCAGACCATTCGGCCGTCATGCCGCCAGTGCCGCTCACCCAGGGGTAGTTCTCAATGACCCAGTCGGTGGGATCGATGAACTTCTCCTTCAGACGACTGTACATCTGCTGTGTGGTGGAGCCCTGAGCGGACCGAGACTTGCTCAGCAGATCACGCAGGTTCTCCGTAATGAACGGCAATATGGAAAAGTTCCACAGATCAGTGAACCAAATTTGGGAGCCGTTGACGTCGACCGGACAGGAGGTAAAGAGGCGAGGACCTGCAAATGGAGAACAATTATTGACTTTCAGATCTTTTGCCTGTAGTTTTGAGGAGTGTGTGACATACCAATGGAAACATTCTGAGAGGGGAAAAAGTTCTCGAGGAATCGATTGAGGTACATGGACACTCGTGGAATCCAGTCGATAATTCGATTTAGATGCGGATCGGGCGTGGCCGTTTTGCCGTACTTTGCCTCTGCTTCGAGCCACTTTCGTCTCAAGTACCGCGTGAGAAAGCCCTTGACTGGCTCTGTTTGCACGGAGAAGGTGGCCATGCGAAAGTGAAACCGGTGAAACATCTCCGAGATGGTTTGCGTCGAGGTGACATTCTGGTTGATGGTGCCGATAATGTACGGGCTAAATGGAAGGAGAAGCAGTGTTAGGAAATAGCCTTTGCAGAATAAACGTAAAATACCTTTTCTCGCCACTGAATCGATAGAGATCATTGAAAATGTCCACCACCAGCGAGTCATCAATGTGGTGTAGATTATCGAGAATGATGACTATTGGCAGGTGGCCACTGATGAGTGGACTTCGCGGACAGTCACCAACCATCTGACTGAGTGATTCGCACTGTTCAGCAATGTTCGACAGATAGGCTCTCAGTTCTTTAGCGTTCTTGTGGTCAACATTGAAGGTGGCTATGGCGCCGGAGGTCATCGCCAGACCAAAGTGGCTCAGCGTTTCATCGGCCACGCTGGCCAGCTGCTTCTGAATGACCAGGTACTCGGCCAGCTTGTGCGCCAAGTACGTTTTTCCAGTGCCACTGGGGCCGGCGAGAATCAGACGGCGATTCTCCGCCAGCAATCCGAGGAACTGGTTGAGAATGGACTTGGGCGTCAGCGTGTCAAAGGCGAGTGAATCGAGTGCCGACTTGAACTGCAAGTTGATGTGACAGTCCTCCACCAGGTACCCGAAGGGCAGCAGCTCCGGCGTCGGTTGAAGGGCCAACTCCTGCAGATTGCGCTGCACCTGTTCTGCGCCCACTCGGTAGCAGGCCAGCGAGTCGACGGTGACGCCCAGCGAGAGGTGGCAGTCCACGCGAATGAGGTGCTCCTTGAAGAGCTTCCGAACCAGGCCGTCCAGCGCCTCCCAGTTGGTCTTGGCGGTGATGCCGAATCGAGCCAGCGTGTGACTGCCGGAGCCCAGTGTCACCGGCTTCAGGGGGCCGCCGCTGAGGGAGTCGAGGCAGGTGGAGCCGGGCGAGGAGAGCATGCCGTCAATCTCCACACTCTCCAGGCTGTTGGTGTCCAGGTTGTTGGAGTTTCGAGCACTGCTGCTGCTGTTGTTCGGGTCTGCGGCACTGATCATCGGCGCCATTTGCTGGCAGTTCGTCGAGGTGGCCAGCGAGCTGGCGGACGAGGCGAGTGACTTGTGGCTGACCAGTCGCTGCAGTCGGTCGTTGTCCTGCTTCAGCGTCACCATCTCCAGTCGCATCTGCGAAAGCATCTCCTTCAAGTTCTCTAATTGGTGAGTGGAGGTAAGTGACTCCAGTCGCATGTCAGTCAGCTGCATCTCCTTCTCTCGCAGCTGCTTCTGCAGGTCCTGCACTCCCTCATCAGTTTTGTTGCTGTTGTTGTTGTTATTGTTTGCCTCTGACGCCCCCTTCGAGTCGGACGACGAACTGGTGGAGGTTTTGAAGCTGCGCACTGAAAGCAACGGCGAACTGGGCACTGACCGACTGTTATCCGCTACAATGCCCGTGGCTGATGATGGCCGTCGACTGCCTGCCTCATTGCCCGACTCGGCGTCAGACATGAACTCCCGATTCCCCGTACTGTCGCCTCCCTTTGCTTTGTTCTTCTTGAAGGCGCGATTGAATGAACTTCGAATCCAGCTGGCATTGTGGCCCGTCAGAGTCTTTAGTTTGGACTTTTTCTTGCCTTTGCTTGCCTCACCGCAGCTAGAAACACTGTTTACTGATTCAGTAGACAGTTGCCGCTGTTGGAATTTAGATGAAGCTATTGGGGGGTAAAAAGTAAAAGTTCATTAGCTACTGCAGTCTTTCATCACAAGGCATCAGCAGTGATGCTCAGCTAAGAAAAGTTGTAACATGCAGAAAGGAAGAAGGCAGGGTGCTCTACAGCTCTAAAGCAGGAAGAAAAGGACAGATAGATACCATAGAGATCACTGGTAGAGAGGTTATTAGCATGACTAATGTTAATGAGAGCATTGTTAAACGTGTGTCGTCTGATGAGCAGACTGTTAGCGGATTTAGCGTATCGACTTTTAGGTGGTGACTTGGGAAGTGTATTACTTGGCGACTCGACGTCGGTGTAGTCAGAGGTGAATGAGCCCTTGCGCCGGCCGAACTGACTGCTGCTGCTCTGCTGCGCCTGCTTCACTCCGTTCACCAGTGAGCCACCCTGCTGCTTCAGAATCTCGATGGTCTTTCGCAGGCGGTCCAGTTCGCAGTCCTTCACCTCCGAAGAGGAGCTCAGCTGCTGCAGACGGGTGGTCATTGAGGAGAGAGACTGTTCAAAGGCGGCCACCATGTGTGCCTGTGAGACGAGAATAAAAGAGGTAGAAAACAGATTAGTCAGAATGCTAGAAAAAGATAAATTTTTGACTAAAGTATCGTTTGTAGTTAGGTGGTCAACTTTCTCAAATCAACTACCTTCTCCTGGTGCAACCCAGTGACCCTTTCCAGGTCGTAAGTCATGCTCAGAGGTCGTTTTTTAATTCCGGCGACGGAATTACTTCGAACGAAACGTGACTGTTTGCCTGTGCTACTCTCCTCGGTTTCCTCCTCGCCAGTGTTCTTTGCCACCGACTTGCCACCCTTCAGGCCGATGCTGTTTAGCGAGCTATGCGAAAAGGCCTTATTGAAGACGACGACAATTTTTTTCTTCCAAATTGAGCCTAAACTTGGAAATGGCTTTCCGGGTGGCTGGAACAGCTGCCGAAGGCGTATTTGAATTCGACTCTTCGGAGAGCTGCCTGTGCAGCTTGAAGTTGCACAGGTGTTCAGTGTGTCCGAAGACTGCGTGTCAGTGGGAGATCTAGTGTACAGCTTCTTAATGCGCATTGACAAGCGATAGCCAAAACGAATAGGATGCCCACTGCCTAAAAGTCCCTTCCCACCAGAAGTTTCCGTCTCGGTTAGACAGAGCGGGGAGCCGATGATGGCTGGATCAAAAAGAGACGTGTCCAGAGACATGCTCTGCCGCCGTCTATGCTTTCGGTAGTTGTTCACTTTGTCATGTCCTCTCTGAACCATGTGGTAAAAGCCAAGTTCGGAGTAGCTGTCATCGTTTCCCTCATCATCGCCGTCGTCGTCGTCGTCATCATCATCAACGCCGTAAAAATTCGGCTGAGATCGCTTTCGCAGACTTTCCGATTGAGGCTCAAAAGAGTCACTTGCGTAGTACAGTTTGGGCTTGCTTTTGGGCAGTGTGCTAATGGTTATGGAGGAAGTGGCGTCGTCGAAGGAGGCAGTTTCGGTGAAGGTGACAGAGTCGCTGACTTCAGTAGGTGAGAAAGCTGAGCTGCGGTCATCCTTGCAGATTAGTGGATAATTCAGTGAGTTGAGACTGATTATCGAGGGCAGTGGAAGTGGCTTCAGTGGAGCAGTAGAAGAAGTAGTGTTGCTTGAGACCAGAGACGGAGTGTAATACTCAGAGTTGGGCAGATAGGCGGAGGACAGTCGACTGCGAACGGGCGCAAACGGATCGGACTCGCTGGAGGTGCTGATGAACTGGTCAATACTAAGGTGAGATCGATGATGAGTGGATGAGAAGGTGGAGGCAGAGGAGGAGGAGGAGGACGCAGAGGAGGAGGAGGAGGAGGATGAGTTGGAGGAGTCGGTGGAGGGGGGCGTAGGTGGAAGAAGGGGCAGTGGCAGAGGGTACCGACGATGGCGACTGCCAATGGAGCGATTGCGTGGTAATGTCCCGTACAGTGACATGGCGGAGAGATGATGATCAAGTGTACAAAACGTTCAGGACCAGGTAAGCTCAGTTACTGCTGAGCGTAACAGGAGAGAAGTGTAACAGTGTTTCCTCATCAGGGGAACATGCTTTCTTCCTCATTCAGGTACTGCCATATTCAGTCAAGTGGCACAGCACAGCTCATCAGTGCGTCAGGAGATGCACATCGCACACCGTCATCATCTTTTTCACTTTTCACTTTTCACACGTAAATTGAATTATAATCAGCAGTCAAGCAGCGGGCATCATATTGTTCTCCCTTTGCACGTTCGACTACGTCTCGTCGACTGGCGCCAGCACTTTCATCGCACCAAAAAAGGATGATTCAATTGACGAAATTATGTAGCCAATTTTCACTGCACATCACCACTATTTCAAGAATAGAATTCTAGAGAATGCCATGTTTGCTCTTGAAAGGAAAACTAGAAGATACACATTTAGGGACGGCCCATCGATGGACATTGCACACACACACACACACACACACTGGTAGAGCCAGACTGAGAAAAGGCACATCGACTAGAGAAGCCAACAAAAACACATTGACGGTCTGGGCAAATATTGCCAGAAGACGAAAACAGTGCAGGCGAAAGACTTCAAACTCAAAGTTGCGCGCCGTTGACGGCGGAGACGGCGACGACGGCTGTGGTTCGATGCAGACGGCGTCGCAGGCCGGCGAGAACTGACTAACTGCACAGCACTGGTGGCGGGTACTACAGTCAGTCAGTCAGTCAGTCTGATGGCCTGTGAGGATCGAGGCGAGATGGCAAAGTGAATGTGCAGACGCTGCTGCTGCTGTTGCACCTCAGCACAGCACAGCACTGTCGCTGGTGATCGTAAAAATTCATCGCAGCCAAGCACTGCATGTTAGCACTGTTCCACATAAAGTTCAACCACAGTCATCTGCACTTTAGCTCTACTCCACTGTCCAACTTTCTGAACTCAGACCATCGGCCAGTTGAGAGAGACCTGGTCGAGTGATCGTAAACATTGCCACGGCGAACACGGGACACGAGATCAGGCGTGCGAGAGATGATGAGGGAGAATGAGAGAGAGATTGAAAGAGAGAACAGAGGAAAAGTGTAGCGAAATGGTAACGAGCGAGGGCAATCAGCGAAGCCACCTGGCTTCTGACTGAAGCACACAGAATCAGTCATAGCAGCAGTTCAACTCGTCGATTACACATCCAGCAAACTGTGTGACTGTCGAGTGCTACACTTCAAAACTCTGCCTCACCACCATACGATGATTACGAACATCGATTTGGAGAAGAAAGCTTCCCAAAGTTGCCTCAGTTTGCCCACTAACTGTGATACTTAGCCTGAAACTGAAACTTGAAAGTTGTTGTGCAGGCAGTCAAGGAAAGTACACACCGTTTGATGGCACTTCTCGATAATGGGTTTTGGTGAACGAAAAACATAACTAAATTAAATGGCCTTTCAAAAGAGAAGGTGCCTATTTCGGCGCCGCAGCAAGTGGTGC